CTCCAGAGTGTTGTTCAGCATGGGGGTGAGTAGAAAAGGAAGGCTAATCATGTTTTGGGTGTACTATTCCTTTAATGTTAGCCCCATTCTACCTTCTGAAAACAGATCCATGCCGAGTTTGGACCGAGTTTGGATCAATTAACCCTTCTGAGCTTGGTTCTGTTTACCCATCATGCTAGCACGGTTTCTGCCTCCTAGTGACGAGCTATGGTACTACTGCTCTACTGTTGGTAAACAAGCAAACCAACATGGCAGCGCCTGTAACATTCAGGAAGTTTGCATAGAGGCATGTGAAGAAGGCAGTCCTTGGTGAATTTACTTGACAGAGTCGGGTTTTGGGAAGTGGATACGACAAACAATCAGGGCTTACAGACGCAGGAAACAACAACGGAAGATGAGGTTGATCACACTGCTAAGCAGAATCAACACTGGACATCGTGTCGCATGGTAGGGAACCTTACATTTTTATGAATGTCTGAAATTTCATGACTACGGAGGCTGACTTTAGGAGATGACGCTGTCTGTTTGTGCACTCTTTGTTATCTGAGAACCGAGCCAGAACTGAACAGAGAAAACAGAACAAATTTTAAGTAGTTATACGTTTTTTTATGTATCACAAAAAGTATAACTTTTTTTTAATTAATAGGAAAATTAAAGAAAATTTAGGCCGACATGTTCAGCTAATCCTGGATCCCTTTAAAGAGTCTGCATTGGTTGATCTCTACTATTTTAACGCTGATCTTCAATGTGGAGAAATGCACTACCTCAATAGAAAGTATCTTTAAGGATATAACCGCAGCCTCCTGTACGGATGGTAACCTCTGCTGCTTTTTGTTAGAAAGCACCGAACTCCTCTCAACACTCAATGAATCCATTTTTCATTCAGAGGCAGAGAGCCGGTCGACAGCGAGAAGCTACAGCTGAGAATTGGGGGGAAATAGGACACAGGAGGGGGGAAGTATTTACTTTGCATGATATATGGGCTGAGAATTTCCAACAGCACGAGATCACCTCACCCTGGAGGAAAGATTTTAAGAAGTAATGAGGAGATGGATTTTTCCTTTTTTTTCCCCTCCTCCAATTAATTCCTCCGCTCTACCTAATAGTTAAACAGATGAAGAGGTTTAGCACTAAGTGCAAATTCTACTAATGGCCTCCATTGCTGTTTATGTGCTCACACAGCAATATCTGCTAACAGCGCTCCTTTCCCTCTAGTAACAGGATGACTTGGATGAATTGAGACATCTAACCCCACCCTTCGCCAAACTGTTAGGGTTTCCGCCGCATTGCTTGTCAGTCATGTTCAGAGCTCTGCCTGCAGCCCCATCCTGACTATTGATTTGTATCTGTCTAAGAGGTGAAGGTGTCAACATGGCATTTCAGCTTTATTTAACCAGGGAGGAGAGTGCAGGCGGAGGTTCACCTACTCAAGAGTATGCTTTAAAGTCACCTTGGATAATTAAACCCCTAAAAGAGAGTTCTAGTTTATGAGGCAAAAGTTCTGTTAAAAGTTCATAAGCAGTTAATATCTGATCAATAGTACATGAATCTCTTGAAGTCTCCATTTAGCATAAATCCTGGTTAGTCAGTTTTAAAGGCTGACACTAATGGCTAGTATAACAAGCGCTAAAATTAAACTTCTTTAACTTAAATCTAAAAAAAACACCTTGAACTCAATAAAAGGAAGCATAACACTTTTGACAAGTTCGCAAGCGGTTAGTTTATTTAGACAAAAAACAATATTTTCAATACATGGTGAAAGAAAAGGATCTAGGAGGTGATGTCATTGATATCTATCCCAAACAAATATTTAGATAATGGAAAATGTACCATACAGTGTCTCTGTTCAGAGGTTAAATTGAAGACTACAGGTATTAAAGCAATTTAAGGAACAAAAATAAAGAAATATATAGCCTTATCTCTCCAAAAAGTTTTCTCTTAACTTTCTTTTCTTTTTTTTCCCTAAAGACTATGAAACAAAAATGTCCCAGAGGTTCAGTAATGGTAGTTAATGCACTCAAAACTAATGGTAGTTTTGATGCATTCAATTAATGTTGGAGAGTTAACTTAGCTTGGAATGACTAAGACAGATTTATTTGTCATTTTGTTTACACAAGTGAAAAACGAAAAGAAATTTCGTTTGGAACAGCTCTCTGGACAATTTCATCTTTTTAAAAGTGCAACCTTGAAAAATATAAAAAAAATATATATAAAAACAGTTATATAAACATATGACTGTAAAATATATAAAGAATATAGCCGCAGTAAAAAAAAAATTATAATCAAACATGCGTTAAATTTTTATCCAGGTCACATTTAAAAAGAGTAAACATCTTGTTTGACTCCAGCCCTCTAGATGGCAGTAACAAGCGTAATATAGGTCTGTTTACACAGGCGTAAAGGAGAGAGATTTGCAGCTAGTGTGTGGATCAATGCGTAGATAAGTGCATTGATTAGTACGTACGAGCTACAAGTCCGCTTTCCTTCATGCAGCAAGAAAATATTTAAAAAATTAACTTTAGACAAGAGGGTATTTAAGGCCATGAAAACAATCAAACGCTGGAGCCGCAGAGGAAGGCTTTCTCTGCCGTTCTAAGAAAGCGGACTGGATGCAGTTTCAGGTGTTACTATTTCTATAAACGTTCAGGAATTTTACCATTAGATCAATTAACACT